GATCTAATTAACAACTGGTGGATTTCTTTTCTATATGTTCATACAGATCATAAGGAAGGAAGGCTTAGCATCTGTCCAGTAGTGGATGGATCTGGTGGAGTCGAATATCCAGTCAGTATTGGGGTGATAAATGGAATATTGCTTAGTGTGTTGGCTGCTCAGAGAAAGTATCAAGTGCTCAGAATATCTGAGATACTCATAGAAGAGGTCTTGTCCCCAGCATCTGGGGGAGCTGTTTAGTTAAACTGCTCAGCACACTGATGCAGGAAAGATTTTGATGACACACCATGGAAAGTAATGAAGTAGGTCTGAAGTAGGGAAGAGAGAGTTAGTGACAGAAACTTTATTGTTATAGTACAATATTAGTTGATGGTGGTAGTCAGTGGTTACATGGATGGGCCTCTTCTATCTGGAAACTCATGTTTCTGGCACGAGTTCCTGGGAACTCCCAGGATAATATAAACTGCTAGTATCACATCTGCTTCTCCATTCTAGACCTAAAAGATGCATATCAATATAATGAAACTTTTAATTTCTTTCTTTTCTGGAAAGTTAGGGCATAGTTCACTGTTCTGGTAAGACTTTTACTTCACTCAGATTCACCTCTGTGTGATGGATAAATGAAGTGAATAACACATGAACTGACTCAGAGTACCTCCCAGAATCTAAACTATTTCACTAGTTATTCTGATCTCTGAACCAAACCAATAGAAAATCAGGGAAAACCTGAATAAAAACTGAAAATTTTCAAATACTACTTCATCAGGGGCCTTCATTAAAAGCTATTAACTGATACTCTACAAACTAAATGCAGAGGTTCCTTTCTGGGTTTGAATTGTGAGTTCTGGGCTATTTGCTGCTGTTATGAAGTGATAATAGGCTGGTTAGCCTTATTCCCTGCCTCTGTTGAAGGTGGAAATGAGACAGAATGCTCCAAGTCCCTCTCTGCATGGTTTAGGGCACAATTTTCCAGGCAGTATGTAATGCAAGCATGAATCACAACTCCCTGTAAGATACTGCTGTATTCAGTTGCCTGGCTCTTTTCATCTGACTGAACAGGCTGCAGATTCTTGGTTTTAATCTAAGCAATAACCAATTTACTCCAGAGATGAGTATTTGTTGACTGTTGCTGCTGTTCTTATGCTCAGAATTGCAAACCCCTTGGAAAACAAGGCCAGCTCGTGCACGTGTGTACAAACCCGGCTTCAAATCAGGCTTGGATTCTCTTTTCCAGCTCAGCAAGTGACTGACATGTTCACTTTAGCAGAGCTTCCTCCCGAGACAAGCCGGGGGCTGTGCCAAAGTGCTGTGAGGCATTCACTGTGAGTTCAGTCACACACTGGAGGCAGATTCCACAGCACCCTGGAGACACAGGTGAGATGAGGACAGTACAGCCATGATTCAAAGCCCTGCACTTTGGTTTTGCTAGTAGATCATATCAGTATTGTATCAATACAACCAAGATGCAAGTCAGACCCTGCTTCAATAACACCCTTGTGTGATTGAAATTATTTGAAAGTAGGTACTATACTAAACCAGGATAGCTTCTGTTCAGTCCAAATTCAGGTCTGGATGAGGTTGTTGTGCTTCAATCCATAATAGCTCATTTAAAGGAATTAATGCTGAAAAATACATCATTTAAATACAGAAATGTCCGTGTGATAGTCATAATCTTGCAACATCTGGCATCAGTCAGAGAAACACTTCTGCTCCTCTCTTCTTTATATCCGGAGGAGCCTTCTTATCACTTGTGCTTTCAGAGCTGACCTGAAGCCTGTCTCTGCTCCTGCAGCTGGGCAGGATGGATTGCAGGGGCTGAAATTCTGTGCTGTGAACAAGAGTGCTTGGGGGTGGACAGGGCAGGCTTGTGAGTCGAGACTGCTCTGCATGTTTGAGGTGGTCAAGCCTCAGAACATTATTCTAACAAGTAGTCAGTCAAGGAGAGGGTCTTTTTCTTGCTTGTTTGCTTATTTGTTGTTTGGATCCAACACAACCTTTAATATGGAAGAAGAAAAAGCTATAGCTGCAAGTGGCTTTTGGTGTAACTTCCTTATTTGAAATACAAAGAGTGATGCAGATGAGGCTCTGCAGATAGCCCTGATTTTGATAACTGGCAAGAGTATTTCTAATTCAAAAAGTCTCCCTTCTCTTCCTATCAGTTACTTCTCTAAGCAAAGCAGCTGGCGTGACCTGGGCATGTTTTGGTTGTATGCAATAGCTCAGCCTGAGGGAAGAAGACAACCTACTTACCATATCATCTGGGAGTTGTTTCAGTAGGATTTGAGAAACCAGTGCTTCTCTGAAGCTCACTGAGACTACCTGAGACTATCTGAGGAGTTAACCCATGAGTGCCCCTTCAGTCAGTTTGCAGACAACAAAAAGCTGGACAGGAATGTTGATCTGCTTGAGGGCAGGAAGGCTCTGCAGAGGGGTCTGGACAGGCTGGATCAATGGGCTATGGCAAATCATACGAGTGGAGTAAGGTAAAATGCCAGGTCCTGCACTTGGGTCACAACAGCCCCAGGCAGTGCTTTAGGCTGGGGGACGAGTGACTGGAAAGCTGCCTGGCAGGAAAGGACCTGGGGGTGCTGGCCTACAGCAGCTGAACATGAGCCAGCTGTGCCCAGGTGGCCAAGAAGGCCAATGGCATCCTGGCCTGGATCAGCAATAGCGTGGCTAACAGGACCAGGGCAGTGATTGTCCCCCTGTGCTCTGCACTGGTGAAGCCCTTCAAACCTTGTATCCAGTTTTGGACCCCTCACTACAAGCAAGGCATTGAGATGTTGGAGCAGGTCCAGAGAAAGGCAACAGAGCTGGTGAAGGGCCTCAAGCACAAGTCTGAGGAGCTGGGAGTGTTTAGCCTGGAGAAAATGAGGCTCAGGGGAGATCTGATTGCTCTTTACAACCATGTGACAGGAGGCTGTAGTGAGGTAAGGGTTGGTCTCTGCTCTCAGACAACAAGTGACAGGAGGGAAATTAGCTCAAGTTGTGTAAAGGGAGGTTCAGAATAGATATTAGGAAAAATATCCTCACAGAAAAGGTTGTCAAGCGTTGGAACAGAGTGTACAACGAAGTGGTGGAGTCACCATCCTTGGAAGTATTTAAAAAATGAGGGGATATGGCATTGAGGACATGGTTTAGTGGTGAACATGGTGGTGGTGCTAGGTTGATGGCTGGTTTTGATGATCTTAGTGGTATTTTCTAACCTTAAAGATTCTATGATTCTACCAGGTGTGGGAGATTCAGGAACTGAACTGAGGGTTTTGTGTCCAGGGGAGACAGGCTTTTGTCCCATGGTGCCATGTGTGGCCTCTACCTCTGTCTTCTTTCCCAGCAGCAGAGTAGGGATATTCCTGCTGCAGAGAACTGTGTGGAAGGGCAGCAGAAGGCATGGGTACCTAAATACCAGACATGGTGTTCAACCCAGGGTTCACTGCTCATGTGCATGTCCATGGCTGAGAGCCACCTGACCCTAAAAACAAGAGTTTGCATAATTCAAGTGAAGTAAATGGAGGTTACACAAGGTCAGCAGAGGTCCAGCTGGAGTCAGGCAGTTTGCTGCCCTTCTGCAACAATACATCATTTGTGATTAAAAAAAACTCACAAAGAACAAGAAGCATTACAGCCATTTCTGGAGGAAAATGGAACTGCTGTACAGCTAGAGGCAAGCATTTTTGGGGACATGGTTTAAGATATCAAGATTAGCCATACATTAAGTCAGGCTTGGGACTGTGGCTTTCATATCAAAGCTACTGTGTTTTTTCACAGTAGTAGTGGCTTTGCAGAAAACATGTTCAGGTGATTTACAGAGCTACTGCAGTCATCATAAATACATAAGCAAGCAGTGCAAGCACAATCATTGGAGTATGCCAGACCTCTGGTTGCCTGACAGCAGAGGGGCTCTTACTCATACCATGGCAGCTCAATGACACCAGACACAGGGGAGGTGCAGCTTATTCTGGTCCCACAAGAAGCTGCTACCAGACCCAGTAGAGAATATTAGTTTAAAGATCCTGTCATGTCCTTGTACAAGAACAAGAGAACAACACTCATTTTCTTCGCAGTGGTAGATTGAAACCAGAATTTAGTTGCTCTGAGTTACTAGAAGAAATATTTTCATTGCACAGCAGCTGTAAGTGAACTGTAAATATACCAGGCATGGGCAGTTCCCTCAGTGCCTGAAAACATCATTTCTGTAGCAGTGCAGCTCTGCAGCTGACCTAATAAACACTGATGCAGAGCAGGGCTAATTATGTCCAATGCAGCACTGCCCTGGCATGGCTGTACAGCTCCTCGCTCTGGAATTAGCTTAGCTGGGCCTTGTTTGGGTGTCTGCACTGTCCTTCACGGTGTGCTGGAAACAGGCACAGTGCTTGCCAGAGGAGCATCACACACATGCACTGGACTGCAGTGCTTCTCTGCTCTAAATGTGATGGGGAATGCTGGGCTCCAGAGCAATGGAGTCACTTAACAGCTCCTCTGGAAAATTTGTCTGACCTATTGGGGCAACAGACATCTATCTCTATGATCTCTTTCCCTAAAAACTAATAATAAGTAGGGGTGCTGGGAGGTGATGTTACAAGGTGTGTGGAAAATAATTGGGGATTCTCTTACTGACAATTTTGAAGATCAAATAAGGCAAGTGAATTGATAAAACTGACTCAGCGTCAGGTGTTAGGTGAGAAGATAGATAAATAATCACAGATTCTCTAGCAGCTGGGTTTATGCAAGTTCAGGTCCTGTTGTATCTTAATACAGGTTAGTACCTTAGGTAGAAAGAGTTAGATGAGCATTTTTTGGAGAGCTAATCCAATCCATCTGAATAAACACAGTATCCACTTCTGTTGGTCTGTAAAAGTCTCAATTTGTTTGTCTCAAGACAATTTCAAAATCACTCTTTTCCTTAAGAGGAGATGGGGAGATGAGGGACATACCCTAGACCAAGCTCATGTGTTTCTTTTCCACTAATGCTTCCCAATGTGGCTTTTCTCTTACTGTAGTACTGGATAAATGAATACACCTCCACCTTGGGGATTGGTGTCTTCCACTCCGGCATCGAGATCTACGGCAGAGGTATGAAGTATTTCCCTTTTACTACCTGCAGAACATGGGGACGACTGTATGGCCAGATATGGCCTTCTCCAGATACGGAAAAGCACCCCAAACTTACAGCTTTTGGCAAGGAATGTTTTGAGGAATAAAAACTGAAAAACTCAGCCAATTCTCTTTTCAGAGCCCATTGTGAAGTCTAGGAGGAGCTCATGCAGTTCTGTTGTAAAGCATGCACTCCTTCTTATTCAGCCTGTAACTGCAGCCTGTGTAGCTTGTGCAAGTGTGGAGCAGGATGGCAGATAGGAGGAGCAATGCTAGAAAGCCATTCTGTAGTGAAGGAGGGGCATAGAGAATGGGAGAAATGAGGGAGGGGGAACAGAGGTCGATCAGGAGCTGTCTTAAGGCCTGCAGATGTGTTTGTGCTAATTCTGTCAGGAAAAATCTTCTTTTCAGTAATTCTTTATAAAAGTGTATGGTCTAGAGATCTTGGAATCTGGGTTTCTAGGTATTGGAAACTGTTGATTTGAAACACTAGAGTTACAAAGAAAGGAAAACGTCATGTAAGACTTACAAATTGTCTGGATAGGGCACTAGCTGATTAGAGCTCATTTCAAAAGTCAAGGGATCTGGAAAACATCTGTAGTGTGGGGAAGGGTGAACTAGCATCACAGACTTTGTTTCCTTTTTCAGCATTAAATGGGAATGTTTGGCTACCCACTCAGGGTACTTTTAAGCAGTGCCATGCAGTAGCCAGAACTCCTGTTGGTGCTATTCCCACCTTGAGCACAGAGGAGTTCACAGGCCCTGTGTGATGGCCCGTGTGACACCATGAGGATCACAGGCTGTGTTTCACAGGCCATGCAAGGTGGTGGCCTGTATGACATGGAGGGACCCCCTGGCCTGACCTGCATGCTGAGGCAGCAGGGTACAATCAGCCTGGCTTTCTGCAAAGATTTCCCACTCTCTGCCTGTAAATCCCTCTGGAAGATTGGATTTCTCCCTGTTCTAGAAACTGCTTCTTCCAGCTCAGTGGCACCACTGGCAGCCTCTCACAGTTTATCCAGATGCCTTCAATGCAGAACTTTCCACTGAGAGAAAGCCACCTGGATGGGGACAGAGACATTCTTGGAGAGTTTTCCTGGTGCTGTGGGAAAGCAGTAGTGCTAGCATGGAGTGAGGCTATGAGGGCATCCTCAGTCCAAAAGGTAACCAGGCAGTGAAAACAGCTTTCAGTCTGGCTGAAACAGATTTTGGCAATAGCCCAGGCCCTGGTGCTGATGTTGAGCCATGCAGACAGCTGCCATAGACCTTTTCCTGACATGGCGTTCATTCAATTACTCACAGTCTGTTTCTTTCCTTGTCAGAGTTTGCCTATGGAGGGCATCCCTACCCTTTCAGTGGGATTTTCGAGATCACACCTGGCAGTGCGGTAGAACTTGGCGAGACCTTTAAATTCAAGTAAGGGCCCTTTTCTACATCTTCCCCTCTGCCCCTGGTAGCTACCAGTGTAGGGGGAACAGGCAAGTCCTGTCCTCTGGGTCCTCCTGTCACTCTCCTCATAAGTGCCTTCACTGCCATCCTTTACATGACCCTGATTCAAAGGCAGCCCTGCAGGGATTTTGGAGGTGGATAAAAGAGTGTGTACAGCAAACAGGGAACAGTGATGAACTGTGTTTGTCAGGGATTAAAAGCAAGCTTACAAATTAGTGCAGTTCTCTTTTCTCATTTTATTCATCTTCTGTGCTCCCAGTTTTGCCTGTTACACAGAGCAAATGCATAAGGAGAAAAAATAAGACTTCTCCTTTTATGAGTACCACCTATCTGTGGATACCACACAGAGTACCCGAAGTCACTCATTGCATGTTTATTGCTGCTCTATTACAAGGGACAGATGGACTGCTAGAGGAGTCTAAGAGGATGCTGCATTCTTGTGCTGTTCAAGGTGTTCAGACTGTGGGACTGTGGGTCAAGGAAATGTCCGTGGCAGGGGGGCTTGACCTTGCCAGACTGCCAGTTTATGTTGAGGGCCATTTTAGAGCAAGTGCTACTGAGTGAATATTGGGAGAAGAAATAGGTTTCTGCATCAAGTTTTCAGTCTGCTCCTTCCTGGCCCAGGGGACCCTCTCAATTGTGAAAAAAACATCTCCTCTCTTATAATAGAAATTTCTCTTCTGGGATGATGGGCAGAGTAGGAGCAGATGCCCAGAGCTGAGACTTCCCTGGTGGTGAGCAAGAAGATCTCAGGGCTGTTGCCTGTGTGATAACTTGCTTTGTGGAAAAGCTGTGGATATTACTGTGCCATTCTCTTAGTAAGAATCTCTGATGGCCTCACATATGCATATCCATTACATTTCAAGGCTGTCCTTCTTGCCAATATCTGATTATTTCCTTCTCCCTTGGTATGTATCACACTCTTCACTGTGTCTTTCTGTTTTTTCCTGTTGTATGTTTTGTTTTTAACTAGAGAATCCATTGCCTTGGGCACTACAGACTTCACAGAAGAGGACGTGGATAAGATTATGGAAGAGCTGGGCAAGGAATACAAAGGAAACGCGTACCACTTGATGCACAAGAACTGTAATCACTTTTCTTCTGCTCTGGCTGAGGTGGGCACAAACAGGGTTTAGTTATTCACTTTTTACTGCTTCAGATCTGTAGTATTGTTCACAAAAAGGGACCTAGGGTCAGCACACCCTGCCAAGTCAGAGCCCATAGCCAAATATTCTGTCTGCCCTTAATATTTTTGGAAGCTCTTTGCTGTTGAAAGGGAGGGGATCAGGAGGTAGAGACGTGGCAGGTTTATCACATGTTTGGTCTAAGCTGTGTGGTAAAACAGGAGTGCTTGTAATTTAGTTCACTGAACAGGCACTGAGCAGGAATTGAAAGGACAGACCTGGTTAGCATGCAAATTTGCATCATTTTTATAACAAACATAAATAACAGTGTGCAAAGGCATAAAAATGGTTTGTCAGTGTTCTGGAAACAAAAAATTGCAGTATTTAGAGAGTGGCCATTCTTTTTCTTTATTTAATCTGCACCAGCCAAACCTATTAAAAAAAAGAATTGATTTTCTCATAGACATCTTTGGTGCTTATTCACTTCCATGTTCTCAATACCACTGTGAGTTTTGAGAAATTATATAACAGAGCTGTTATTACTATTCAGAGACAACTGAAGCACAGAGAAACACAAATCTTATTCCATTTATCTGCTCATTTGGGGTATCTGATTTTGATTCCCGAAGATGTGATTATTCTGGGCAGAAGTTGCCTTCTCCCTCAACTCCCAGATGAGCTAAAGTGTGCTTCAATTAAGGTGTGAATATCCAGCATCTATGTGAATCTGATTTCCAGATCATAACCCAGTGTCAGGAAAAGATGCAAAAAGCACAAAATGGAAATGGCCTTCCATAAAAACTCTTCCTGTGCTTTCCATACTTGCTTTATGGCAAACTCAAGGAGAGAATATAATTTGTCATAATAGAGGAGGACTGCAGTAACAGTGAAACTTTAATTTCTCCTTATGGAATCCCCATCCTAATTGATTACACATCTCTTTCCTTTCTTCATCATATGGGGCAACAGTCCTATGCCAATAATCTCTTTTGCCACAAGCGTTC